GTACGTCCTTGAACTATACATCTTGTTATTGACATACATGTACATCCTTGAACCATACATCTGGTTATTGACATACATGTAGATCCTTGAACCATACATCTAGTTATTGACAAACATGTACATCCTTGAACCATACATCTGGTTATTGACATACATGTACATCCTTGAGCTATACATCTAGTTGTTGACAAACATGCACACCCTTGAACTATACATCTAGTTATTGACATACATGTACATCCTTGAACCATACATCTAGTTATTGATATACATGTACATCCTTGAACCATACATCTAGTTATTGACAAACATGTACATCCTTGAACCATACATTTAGTTATTGACATACATGTACATCCTTGAACCATACATTTAGTTATTGACATACATGTACATCCTTGAACCATACATCTAGTTATTGACATACATGTACATCCTTGAACCATACATCTAGTTATTGACAAACATGTACATCCTTGAACCATACATCTAGTTGTTGACAAACATGTACATCCTTGATCCATACATTTAGTTATTGACATACATGTACATCCTTGAACCATACATCTAGTTATTGACATACATGTACACCGTTGAACTATACATCTAGTTATTGACATACATGTACATCCTTGAACCATACATCTAGTTATTGACAAACATGTACATCCTTGAACCATACATTTAGTTATTGACAAACATGTACATCCTTGAACCATACATTTAGTTATTGACATACATGTACATCCTTGAACTATACGTCTAGTTATTGACATACATGTACACCCTTGAACTATACATCTAGTTATTGACATACATGTACATCCTTGAACCATACATCTAGTTATTGACATATATGTACATCCTTGAACCATACATCTAGTTGTTGACAAACATGCACACCCTTGAACTATACATCTAGTTATTGACATACATGTACATCCTTGAACCATACATCTAGTTATTGACAAACATGTACATCCTTGAACCATACATTTAGTTATTGACAAACATGTACATCCTTGAACCATACATTTAGTTATTGACATACATGTACATCCTTGAACCATACATCTAGTTATTGACATACATGTACATCCTTGAACCATACATCTAGTTATTGACATACATGTACATCCTTGAACCATACATCTAGTTATTGACAAACATGTACATCCTTGAACCATACATCTAGTTGTTGACAAACATGTACATCCTTGAACTATACATCTGGTTGTTGATATAGATGAAAGGCCTTGAACTATACATCTAGTTGTAGACATTGATGAAGGGCCTTGAATTTTCATCTAGTATTGCCATATATGTACATGCTTGAACGATATTTCTAGTTATTGACATACATGTACATCCTTGGACTATACATCTAGTTATAGACAGACATACATGTGCGTTCTTGAACTATACATCCAGATATTGACATTCATGTACGTCAACGAAATATGCAGCTAGCAATTGATCATTACAAATGTGTACAGGTGTATCCTTATATACATTCATGAAATATTCTTATGGATACGATCATAAAAAATCTTCTCCATATATACATGTTGCTGTGAAGCGAACACTGACATGGGATCGTGACATATACACCCCAAGGCCTGAATATACGGTGTAGACATCCATGACACATCGTTACATTCAGCGACGTGCAACATAAAAACACACACACAAACACAGACAGACAGAGGCATCACAACAAAAGAAATAACTGTCCACACAACCCTAATCTATTTCATTATCGATTGTGGCGCCACAGATACACATCTTTCACACAGTATCCGAGTTCAGCATGTCTGTGCAGTGGTGATTACCCCAATGGCTACGGGAAGGCAAGAACAATTTCTTCAAACAATCAGTCATATCATCATCTGGTAGCCACGCGTATCAAGACATATAGAACATTTGTCGTGTCAAGAATAGTATTTTTTAAGTAGGAAATGCGGTTCGTGTTCAGTATCCTGTGAATATGTTCGGACATGATACGCTGAGCTCATTAACCTCAAGACATGGGACGGACCAACGAATCTGGTCTGTGTCTCCAGACAGCATCAGTCACGTAGTAGACAGGTTCGATTATTAATAGTAGAATCCTCCTGCATCTAACCCTAGATTAGACTCGTTATGAAGAAAACATACAAGCTTACACATTTCTTAATGTGCAAACTTAAAAAGAACGGTTCTCATCTTGATCAAATATTTTTCACTATGCCGATATATAGGGGATGAATGTGACACGGTGTGAATCATACTGTGGCCATGTGTTGGAGATAATTTAACAAAAGTTGGGTTAAATATAAACTGTGCTCGTGCTTCGTCGTTAGAGATGGTGTGATTAGGTGAAATGTCATTATGACAATACCAGTATAGACTTATTAGTCTACACCACCATCATTGATATATCAACTTTAGCTTGAATGGACGTCTTCTAAAATGTCTCAGATTTGACTTGATTTGATTTGATTTTGCTGTTTAAAGCCGCACTCAGCAATATTCCATTTGTATAACGACGTCCTGTAAATAATGTCTGAACCCGAAAAATACAGTGGTCGATATTGTGAGCACCGATCCATACCATCGGGGTACAAAAACACGCAATAAACCAAGTCACCGAGCCTGACCACCGGTCCATTTGGCTGTCTCTTTCAACCAGCATAGGTTCCTGGAACCTCTTCTAACCCGCAATTCTCATGTGGGCTAACATATTACAGTTTCGATATCAAGACTGGGCCCCAAACTATGGAACTTAGTTTCTGTTAAATGGACCAATTTCTCTTAAGTTATATGAACGTTTGTACATGTTTCAGCTTATTGCGAAAACAAACCTTGAACAGGACGTGTGATAACATCGGATACTCTACATATTGTGAACAACGTAGCCAAGCGAATGACTCTCTGTTCAAACAAGTCGATAGAGGTTATTTAAACACACGCCGCACAACACGAACACGTTCAAATATCCACACACACTCAGTATTATAGCGTGTGGACGTCCGCGTCATGCACAGTGAAGTGGCTTGCCTCTTCCTGTCCATTACACACACTGATGCGGATGTAGGATGAAACGACAGTCTCGTGGACATTGGAACTGCGCATTTTTTAACGATTATGGTCATTGGAAAATAATGTATTCTCCATTGCGTGGCGTGTTAAAGATATTCCTTCGTTGACAAGATTTCAATATAATATTAATATATAACATATACCAATATGCATGCCCTAATATGGCTGAAATACTTCCGGACGCTACTTTACATAAATTAACATAACGCACTCACTCGCTTTTGTACAAATGGTATTTATATATTTAAATTGATTTAAAAATACTGATTTGAAAACATACCAGACCATATCGCTGCACAAAACAACCCTTCAACGAAAGGGTTCCCTTTGGGAATGCGGGTTAGAATATAAAGGGACCAATTCACATCTTTGACATCTTTGACAAGTCACTGTAGTTTAGCAAATTGGCACTCCTAGCAAGCACGGTTCATGTCATTTCACTTGATTTGTCAGCAAATGAATATCAATTCAACAGTTAACGATAACCGTAATTACACAGTGACAATATGTCTGTTTCACAAATGATGCTACATGTAAAATCACTGAAGACGATTAAGGATTTTAACTGCTTTTTATTTCTTAATACATAGCAGTTGAAAGACAAGACGTTTTAATCCACTAGTCAACTTTGTCTTCATAGATACTACAGCTTTTAAAATACAATGTATTAAAGATCATGTAATATCCTCACACGACCTAAAGTGGAAATGAACATCAGATTGCATAGCCTGGTGTTCCTTCAATAATACAAACAAATGTATTTATGAAAAAGACACGCCCAAAACTGACCCACATTTATATATAGTAACGTTTTTTTTATGTTAAGTTGTTCCCTTAGCACGAAACATGGGGCGTGACGTCACAGACACTGACCCGAGGTCCGTGGGTTCGAGTTCGGCCTCCCAAAACGTGATACAAATACAAGACAAGGTGGATGTGTGTGTGTGTTTTCGTGTGTGTGTGTTTTCGTGTGTGTGTGCGTTCGTGCGTGTGCGCGCGCGTGAGCGCGTGTGTGTATGTGTTGGGGAGGATGGGGGTGGGGGTGCCATGTCTTGTCTGGGGAAACTTATTCGCAAAGCGGACTTCCCGGGATTCCGAATAAATTTGGCCTTGAATTCCACTAAAAAACTTCCAACCAAACACAAATCATTTGAACCAACAACCTTATTGTGACACATCTAGTGTGAGAAGCCACACGCGTATATCAGATGACTGTCCTACCTTGAAATTGTCAAAATGGTAAACGTAAGGAAAGAATCTTGTTTACAGTGATTAAGGACATTCAAGCATATGTTTGTATGAGGTGAGGTGAGGTGAAATTGGGTTTAACGTCGCGTCCAAGATTATTGCACTTATATAGCGACGTTGTTTGTATGATCATGGCGACTATGATATATAAATACATACATGTACATAATACAAAAAATAACTTAGTATCATTAATCGAGAGAAGGTTTTGTTTTTTATAACAAATGAATGAATGAATGAATGAATGAATGAACGAACGAATGAATGAATGAATGAATGAATGAATGAATGAATGAATGAATGAATGAATGAATGAATGAATGAATGAATGAATGAATTAGATAATTAACTGCTGGGCAAAAGAATGTTTGACCAATAATGAAACAAACAAGAACTGGTTTTTCGATGTTGATGTATCATAGTTGATACAGGTATCACAGTTGACGTGCACATGGCGTCTTAATTAGGAACATGAAGAGCTGAATTTAAAATCCATTTTGAAGGTGTATACTTTATTTTGCCCTGCAGTCTGTAATGAAAATAAAAAAATAATATAAAGTAATAATCCTTTAAATAAATGAATGAATAATCAACAAGTTAAACTCATGTATATAATCTACAGTTGTTATCACAATAATACTCTGACAATTGTAGAATAAAAAAATACTTACCATTTCAAGATGCCAATTTCCTTTGTGTGAGTGTCGTGTAAGTGCCTCAAGAATTGAAAGCCAAATGATGAGCCGCCGTGCTCTCTAAAAGTTTCATACCATACGTATATACTTTGTGAGCACATGTCGACTCTGATTCATTGTTCACTCGAGCGTGGCTGCTGATGTAAAAAGTGACAATCCTACTCCGTCACCTCTTGTCCAGCCTACGTTTTAGTGTCAACAAAACAAAAGCTTTCCGTCATAATGAAATATGAGTTCTGACGATTATTCCATCCCCAGCATATTTGCAATCTGCGTGGTGTTTTTTTTATTATTAATAGGCAAACACCGTTACGTGGTTACAATATAGATAATGGTGTACGATCGTGTCAGATACGAACGTTTTAAAAGTGTTAAAATATGAAATAAAAATTCATTCACATATTATGCTGATAGCTGAAGACAAGGAGGTAAACTGTTTTAAAATAGAGCTAATTTAACAAATTTGGTGATGTAACGGAGTTTCATCCAGCACTTCATAATTGCCTTTTATACGATATAAAGAAAGGAAATATTGATAGTATTCCTTACTGATATTTTGTGCTCATTTATGTATGATAACATAGCACATGTCAGGCACGCATGCCTAGTATGTTTAGTGTTGCACTAGAGCTCCCCTAAGAAATAATAAGACAGTTTCATCTAAAAATGAAAATTCAATCAATAAATACAGCATATTTTAAATGAGAAACTTTATGTCAGTGCAGATGTTGATGCAGTAGTTTCGTTACTGGTAGCGTGTACAAGGAATTAAAATTCCTGACGAGCTGTACACAAACACTTTACGGCTTTTGTTTTCGTCTATGTAAGTGAATGAGACCTGCAAATGAAAGTTCTTTTCCTTCTAATCAGAGTGATCATGTTTCGAAATTTGGAAGTAAAGCAAAGCAATGTTACGTGCACGTGTGTGTGTCCTTGCATCCGTGCGTGCTGGTATGTGTGGATGCATGTGGATGTCTGCGTGCGCGCAGGCGTATACGTGAGTACATGTGTTTGCATGTGTGTGCGTGTTTGTGTGCGTATGTGTATGTGTTTGTGTGTATGTACGTGCGTGTGTACATGCGTGCGTTTGTGTGTTGTGTGCTTCAAGTCATACAATTTTTTTCTTCTAAGGGAGGAGCGCTATGTTTTTTAACCCAACCCTTTTTTTCAGGACATGAATAGTGCCTGTCATGGCTTCACGGTACACAACATTAGCGAGACATTCATGAATATCGCCGCGTGGTGTTTTGAGTATGCTCATGAAGAACGATGGTTTAACAGTCACTTACAGTACACTGTATCAGTCACAATAGGAACGTGTAACTTCTAGCGAGCGTCTTCCAAACAATGAACACGTTGAACGGACACCTGCTCACGATCTGTGTAGGACGATATAAGTAGCATGTGACGCCATGCACAGTTTTTGTGTCTTCCCGTACCACGTGACCCGGCCACAACAGCGTGCTTGAGTGGTCATTTATCCACTGAAACGGCTCACGGGGGAATAGTTTTAGTGTTTATTTCCTAGGTATGAAGGCCACTGTTCCATGTTCATTACAGATACCATCATGTTGTTATATGGGTGTTTGGACTGACCGAGGTCTTATAGGAAAACACGCATTTAATGATATATTTATTAATTGACAAGGTAAACTATATGTTTCAATCAAAGAGATCAAGGACCCGTGAAGATCCGGGTTAGAATAGGTCTTCAACAACCCATGCTTGCCGTGATCGGCTACTTCGTAGTTCAGGGTTCCAAGTCTTGAGGACATATTGATAGCTAATTTGTTAATGCTCTGAGGAAGGTAGTTGACATTGTTACTCATTGTCCTTCACGAAAAACACGACATTTTAACCCACAATTGCCTCCTAAGTTAATGCTCTATTGTAAAATGCACATTCAAGCAGTCGCGCATTGAATACGATGATACAATTATACCCAATATTAGATTTGTATATACGTATATTTATTCACCATTATTATAGCTATTTAAAAGTACCAAATTTAAACAATTCTGTTAATTGTTATTCTAATTATATTTTTGATAATTTTAATAAATGTATATAATTATGTTACTTCGTATAAAACAAATTAACGTAAATCATCATATCGTGTAGAATTGTATCACATATGTAGGAAGTCAAATGTTGAAGAAAATCACACGATTTTCTTTTCAAAGTTAACCAAGGCTAAATACTCAGTTATAAATATCAGATAACAGTAACATATATACCCAAGCGTAAGCGATGCGAAATCGTAAATAATCAGGTTTATTACTTATGTCGACATACCAAGAAGAGGATTTCACTGCGTGAAAGATATAAGACTATAAAACATTCACAACTCAAGTGTAGTGGAAATACACCGCCATATTAACTGGTCATGTATGACATGATATGAGGTTGAAATGCTACGTACAATAGCCATAAAGTGATCAATATTCTACACCGTGATAACTCCTGCAAACCGTGTAAGATCTGTCGAGAGGAGAACAAGAAAGAAACCTACATGTAAAGCATTCATTCTTTAATGTTACTGCTATATTTTCATTTTGTACAGATTAAGAATATATAATAAATATAGCAATGGTTTGATCAAAACAACACGCATGGGAATGGCATTACTGAAATTACTCACTGCAGGGAATGTTACATGTATAACATAACACTGCATTGTGATATACACTGTAGTATTAAATGGGCTGACTTGTTACATTAGTAAAGGATTGCGTTGTTACATACCAGAAGATCTTTTCATTGTTAACTACAATCAGATTATTAAACCCAAGGATTGCGTTGTTACACACTAAAGGATTGCATTGTTACATACTAAAGGATTGCGTTGTTACACACTAAAGGATTGCATTGTTACAGACTAAATGGTTGCTTTGCTGCACACTTAAGGATTGCGTTGTTACATACTAAAACATTGTGTTGTTACACAACAAAGGATTGCGCTGTTACATGCATTGTCTTTCTTTGAAAGAAGGAGACAAACGTAAATCTTTATTCAGGACGTCCAGGTTTTGTTTGGCAGAGCTCGAGCCAAAATTATATTCCAGTGTTTCCTGGAACAAAATATTTCTTTCTTTATTTCAAAAAAGAAAATCAGAAGAAATCATTGTTTAGCCAAATGAATATAAATCGAAGAATATGAACATAATACATATATTTGATTTGTTGTCAGTGGTTTACAGATGTGTACTATGTAAAGTGAAACCACACTAATCCGACCACACTAATCCGGAAAACCCGGAACGTCTATGTACGTTAGTACGTACCGATGATTTGCTAATCCTGAACTATGTACCCTAGATGATTTCCTTTGCTCATAGTATCAAGCACTGGTTTGTATGGACCGGGCTAGATTATTTCATTTAGCTGAATATTGCAGGGTTTGGTGTTAAACACAAACTAACATGTGAATAAAAACTTTAATTGAATGAGTTTCGTTATAAACGTTCAGCTATATTATAACATTGAAAAGAGAGTTTGTTAAAACGATTTAACAAGTTTTCAAAGAACCATTGCGAAATGTTAGATGAAACCTTTATAGGACCTTTGTCAACTTTTATGTGTTCCTTTCCCACCTTTTGTCATAGATTTATATCTGTTTTCATTGATCCAATGTCCGTGGATTATCAGTCTAAGCTCAACTACACTAAGGGAATATTAGTCTCCTGCCAAAGGTAAGATGAATTATCACAGTGGGACCCCAGATCCCTTCGATCTGGCAGCATTAAAGAGTACCAGCAACGCCTGAAGTCATTCCAGGGACATAACTCACTCTCAACGAGGCTAGAGAATGAAGACAGGTGCGTGCTCTCCCATCCTGATGCCTGGTACTCGGTCCAGACCACCCCGAACTCCAGCACTTCAACCAATGTTTGCCGTCGTGTACAAAGAGCTCTTCAACACTCATGTCATTTTTCATAACGTTATGATAGGTCATTGTGTACACCAAGATTGCCACTACGGGCCACAAACCAGGCAATGATTCGTTATCCGGGGACTGTTAAGGGTAGGTGAGGGTGACATTAAACGTCGTTAATAAAACAGTAGGTTTAATGTACAACAGGGTTCCAAGGAAGTATTTGACAGTGTTGTTGCTTCACAGCAGGTATGTCGAATGCGAATGGACCCACATGTCCCGAGAACATTTGTGATGCATGTGTTCAGTTGAAGAGAAGGCGTCATGACATAAAGAGTAGTAAGTGGATTAAATCACTCTGACCGACGAAATTGAGACCCACTTCTGTCATAGATGTGCAGATAAGGAAGTGGTACCTATTCAAGGAAAGGACACTACCAGTTGTTCTTATTCTGTGCTGTAGTGAAGCTCCAGATCTGCCTTTTCAAGCAATTGTGACAATCGGATGTCGATAAATTGATCGGTAAAGTTAACCAAGGACACGAATGGCGCAAAATGCCTCAGGACATGATAATGGTATCTGTCTTTAAGTAACGTCAAAACCAACGACAATGGTGTGTATACCGCCTCGCGAAGTCAACGTGAGCGGCATCCTTTATCCCAACACGCCTAAGGTATTGCCGACGTGGGAGATTGTTGTAAAATGTACCGTTTGTGGATGTGTGGAACTTGTGGCTTTGTTTGGTAACATTCTTGTTATTTCCATCGTTGCCCAGTCACGGAAGATGCGGACGACAACCAACTTCTACATCACCAACCTCGCCATCTCCGACCTTTTTGTGGCATGCATCCCCTTCTGGATACACCTTGTGAACGACGTCACTGACGGATGGTTTCTTGGCGAATTTCTCTGCAAGTTTAACGCTTTCGTACAAAGTGAGGAATGTTTGATACTGTGCCCTATATCTCATACATGCAAAAAGATGGGTTGAAAATTCATCTTGATGGTTATATTGATAAAATGTCGTTGTTTCCCATTCAGTGTTTTCTCATAATCATCAGTTTTAAACTACCGATGGACACTTGTATATGTTTTCAACCAATTTATATCTGCAACCGTACTGTTTTTCTATTTAACATATTTCTCTATATAAATGTGAATAATATTAAATTAATTACCCTTTTCCCTATGAACCACTTCCAGCTAAGTGGGATATCGGGGGATACAAATCGTGTGTTCTACTAATCCCAGTAGGGTTATTTTTATATAAAAAAAACACCCTGATTGGAATTACATACAACTTTTCTCATTCATAACTTTATATATGAGATTTAAACCCATGTGGTCTGAAAAATATTTCGTATTAGTTTTTAAACTGTGAGACATTTGCGAATACAATGTACTTCTGTCAAACCATTTCTGTGGAAGAGGTTCCCTTGTTAGTTTTTGACGTACACATTGGAATCATACTTCTTGTATTCTGAAGCGATTGTCCGCTAGGTCTCAACTTCAGTGTGTTGTACCATTATATGCGCCAACACTACAATGATCTCCCTTGCTATTATTCACCATTATAATGATTTAATGTGCTATGCTCCACCATTTAGTAATGATCTACTTTGCTGTCTTCCACCATCATAATGATCCAACGTCCTTTACTTCCTATTATAATGATCCAACGTCCTTTGCTTCACCATTATAATGATCCAACGTCCTTTGCTTCACCATTATAATGATCCAACGTCCTTTGCTTCACCATTATAATGATCCAACGTCCTTTGCTTCACCATTATAATGATCCAACGTCCTTTGCCCCCCATTATAATGATCCAACGTGATATTCTCCACCATCATAATGATCCAACGTCCTTTGTTCCCCGTTATAATGGTCTAACGATATATTCTCCACCATTATAATGAATGATCTAACGTCCTTTGCTCCCCATTAAATGATCTAACGTGATATTCTCCTCCATAATCTAACGTCCTTTGCTCCCCATTATAATGATCTAACGTGATATTCTCCACCATTATAATGATCTAACGTCCTTTGTTCCCCGTTATAATGGTCTAACGTGATATTCTCCACCATTATAATGATCAACGTCCTTTGTTCCCCATTATAATGGGCTAACGTGATATTCTCCACCATTATAATGATCTAACGTCCTTTGCTCCCCATTAAATGATCTAACGTGATATGCTCCTCCATTATAATGATCTAACGTCCTTTGCTCCCCATGATAATGATCTAATGTTTTATTCTCCACCATTATAATGATCTAACGTCCTTTGTTCCCCATTATAATGGTCTAACGTGATATTCTTCACCATTATATTGATCTAACGTCCTTTGCTCCCCATTAAATGATCAAACGTGATATGCTCCTCCATTATAATGATCTAACAGGCTATGCTCCTATATCATTATAATAATCTCACGTGCTATGCTTCTCCATTATAATAATCTAGCGTGCTTTGCTCCTCCATTATAATGAGCTAATGTGCTCTGATCCCAATTATAATGATCTACTTTGCTATCTCCCACCATTATGATGATCTAACGTGCTTTACTCCTCCCTTATAATGAGCTAATGTGCTCTCATCCCAATTATAATGATCTACTTTGCTATCTCCCACCATTATAATAATCTAACGTGCTTTACTCCTCCCTTATAATGAGCTAACGTGCTCTGATCCCAATTAAAATGTTCTACTTTGCTATCTCCCACCATTATAATGATCTAACGTGCTTTGGTTTACCATTATAATGATCTTACGTGCTATATACGTGCTCCACAACAATACTGATCTGACGTGCTATGATCCACCATCATAATGATCTAAGGTGCTATGATTTACCATTATAATCATCCAACGTTCTTTACTTTATAATATAATCATTTAACGAGAGACTGAGTGAGTATGGCTTTACGCCGCTTTTAGCAATATTACAGCATTTTTTATAATAATCTAACGTACTATACTACTCCGTTATAATGATCTAGCGTGCTATGCTTCTCCATTATTATGATTTAACATGCTATGATTTACCATTATAATGATCTGACGTGCTTTGCGCCCCTTTATAATGTTCTAATTTCTATCTTTCACCATTATAATAATCTAACGTGCTTTGCTCCCCTTTATGATGTTCTAATTTGCTATCTTCCACCATTATAATGATCTAACGTGCTTTGCTCCCCTTTATGATGTTCTAATTTGCTATCTTCCACCATTATAATAATCTAACGTGCTTTGCTCCCCTTTATGATGTTCTAGTTTGCTATCTTCCACCATTATAATAATCTAACGAGCTTTGCTCCCCTTTATGATGTTCTAATTTGCTATCTTCCACCATTATAATAATCTAACGTGCTTTGCTCCACCATTATAATAATCTAACGTGCTTTGCTCCTCCATTATAATGATCTACTTTGCTATTTACCACCATTATAATGATCTAACGTGCTTTGCTATCCCATTATAGTTATCTAAGGTCCTTTGTTCCGCCATTAAAATGATCTAACGTGCTATGCTATCCCATTATAGTGATCTAAGGTCCTTTGTTCCGCCATTAAAATGATCTAACGTGCTATGCTATCCCATTATAGTGATCTAAGGTCCTTTGTTCCGCCATTAAAATGATCTAACGTGCTATGCTATCCCATTATAGTGATCTAAGGTCCTTTGTTCCACCATTATAATGATATAACGTGCTATGCTATCCAATTATAGTGATCTAATGTCCTTTGTTCCACTATTTTAATGATCTAACGTGCTATGCTATCCAATTATAGTGATCTAAGGTCCTTTGTTCCACCATTATAATGATCGAACGTGCTATGCTATCCCATTATAGTGATCTAAGGTCCTTTGTTCCACCATTATAATGATCTAACGTGCTATGCTATCCCATTATAGTGATCTAAGGTCCTTTGTTCCACCATTATAATGATCTAACGTGCTATGCTATCCAATTATAGTGATCTAAGGTCCTTTGTTCCACTATTTTAATGATCTAACGTGCTATGCTATCCAATTATAGTGATCTAAGGTCCTTTGTTCCACCATTATAATGATCTAACGTGCTATGCTATCCCATTATAGTGATCTAAGGTCCTTTGTTCCACCATTATAATGATCTAACGTGCTATGCTATCCCATTATAGTGATCTAAGGTCCTTTGTTCCACCATTATAATGATCTAACGTGCTATGCTATCCCATTATAGTGATCTAAGGTCCTTTGTTCCACCATTATAATGATCTAACGTGCTATGCTCCTCCATTATAATGAGCTAACATGTAATGCTTCTCCATATACTGATTTAACGGGCTACTCGCCCCATTATAATGATATAACGGCCTTTCCTTTACCATTGTAATGATCAAACGTGCTATGCCCAAACCTTCAAAACTGATCTATTTTACTATTATTCATCAATATAATGATCGAACGTCCTTTGTCCCTCTTTATAATGATCTCACGTGCTATGATTTACCATTATAATGATCTACTTTGCTATCTTCCTACATTTTATTGATCTGACGTGCTGAAGTGCTATGCTCATTATAATGATCTGGCGTGTTATGCTCCTCCATTATAATAATCTAAAGTGCTTTGATTTACCATTATAATGATCTTACGTGTTATGTACGTGCTCCACCACAATGTTGATCTGACGTGCTATGATCCACCATTATAATGATCTAAGGTGCTATGATTTACCATTATAATCATCTAACGTTCTTTACTTTATAATATAATCATTTAACGAGAGACTGAGTGAGTATGGTTTTACGCCGCTTTTAGCAATATTACAGCAATATCACGTCGGGGGACACCAGAAATGGGCTTCAGACATTATACCCATGTTGGGAATCGAACCCGGGTCTTCGCCGTGACGAGCAAAAGCTTTAATCACTGGGCTACTCCACCGCCCTTCATTTAACGAACCATATCCAACATTATAGTGATCTGATGTGCTATAATCAACCGTAATCATCTACAGGGTTGAATTTTCATAACAATGCCAAAATATTGGACATATTCAAGACAAGTCAGGCAGCCTAGGTACAAGTGGTAACAAGTACATATGTATATACTCAGACGGTGCGAAATGCGTGCAAATTATGACTTAATGTGGTGTGTTGCCATTGCACTCTGGTTCATGTTTCGCATTTGGTTTGCGCGGGTCCAACAGTTCCTTCATATAGCAAGGTTAATTTCTCATTAACGGGGTGGGTAGGGGGGTGGGTGGGTGTGTAAACACAATCAACAAAGTCATCGAACTTTACCACCCTCTACATTTAGTCGCCTCTTAACAACAAGCATGTAGGTACATATACTGGTGTATAGTGACGTATTCTATGCTGGAAACCTAAATAGACTCTATCTCTTATGTTTATAAATGAATAAAAAATTAAAGCGCACTGGTTTCGTGTTAACCGTCCTAGGGGGCACGTAGCGTGGGTGTGGGGTGTGGGGCAACTCGTTATGCAGATTTGCGTCCCTTAATTGCTCATGCAGTTAACGATTGCGACCAGAAGAAACCATCATGCACTGAACGATTCCGACTATATCGTAAGCAATTTAATTTATGTAACCCATGTTTCCTCAATACCCTATGTCCTCGGCTCACACATAACAATGTGTTAATTTTGTGCAACGTCGGGTCGATAGTACATATACATGTACCTCGTTCTCAGATTATTACCCCCCCCCCCCCCCCCCCGCCCCCCCTCCAGCCTTCCTGAAATGCATATTTAATATATTTAGTTTTATTTTAATCTTTACCTTTATCACGAGAAAATAAGGTCACAGTAGTGTAACTAAGTGGTCCGCAGAACCTTATCATCTTTACCCGTTTTGTGATGATCACTCTATTTCTGGTGTCAAGTCTGGTGTCATATTCAGGTCTTTTCTCTCTTTTATGGCTACAGACTCAGAAGGGGGAAAATAACGAAAATCATCATTTCAGGAGACTAGGATATGAAAGAAACTATAATTGAAACTGTTCAACGAACGTTAAGACGTTAAGAAAAGAAAATTTATTATTATTATTATGCCCTCCGTTTACCAACTCCGGGAAAAAATGATCTGAAGAACAAAATTCATTCTGCTTGGCCTTAGCATGACGATTATACCCTTCCACTTTGTGATAATGAGCGTTGTATTACAATCAAGTGACATCCAACGTCTTGGTTGTCGATCGTGTCAGTTGTTACCCAAATATCACATCACGCACATTTCTGAATACATATTTACTTCCCCACCCCACCCCCCACCCCCCCAACCCCCTCCCCACCCCCGCCACTTCACTTCCCCTCAACACACTCTGAAGAAACAGCCAGTCTTGGATTGCTCCCAACAGTCATTCCCATCTTTCTCACCTTTCCGTTGCCGTCGTTGTATAATTAAGTAGTGTTTTCACTGTACAGCGATTTATCGTCGAAAGGCAGATATATTTGCATCGTAAAACGTTTAAAGCTTACATCGAACTGATGCAGTTCTGGTTAACAAGGTTTCACTATCGTGAAGCAGGGCGATGTTTGAATGAAAGAGAGAAAATCTTTTCCATAATCAAACGAAATCTCTACTAAAAGCAGAGTCCATTGTACGACACTATCATAAGCATGAATCACTATGTAATAGTGATGATACCAGGTGTTGCGAGAAGGTCAGCGTATCCTGCCCCGCTGTGGCACCGTCACAAACACAAATGTTTAGCATCTAAGAAGGAAAACAGGGGAGGAACACCTCGTTGGCGGTTTTAGAGTAACGTTACCTTAATTGACATGGCTATTTAGACAGGAACTAATTGCATCGCATTTCCCGAGAAAGCAAATAATTTGCTTGTGTGACAGACATACGAGTATTCACGAGTTACACATAGTTCGCCCATCACACCGAAAGTCCAGGTTCGATTCTCCACATTGAATGTGTGAAGCCCATTACTGGTGTCTCCCCATGATATTGCTGGAATATTGCTAAAAGCGGCGTAAAACCATACTCATTCACCCACTTCTTATGAGACACGATGACAACAGAGAATAATCAGTCTCGAATATCCACCGGAACGTTGAGCGTAAAAGGCAAACTAGTTGTGAAACTTGTATGTCTTTGACTAGGTCATTGAAAGCAGTGATGACACCAGGTGTTCGTGAAAAGAGTAAACAGATTGAAAAGTAAACGATTAACAGAACTTTGGCATTCTCTCGAGGGTCGATTATAACTATTGACATTGTATTGTACTTTTAGCAATATACCAGCAATATTGGCGGGGGACACCAGAAATGGGTTTCATACATTGTACCCATGTTGGAAATCGAACCCGGATCTTCGGTGTGTCGAGCTAACGCTTTAACTATTCGGCTACCCCATCGCCCTAGGCTTGTTATCGATCAATTGACTTGGGCCATGGAAAACTGCGATGCATCCATAATTCGTTCAGTTCTAGCTTACCCTCGATCTGCGAGGATATCTGGTCTACTAGTACACTATATAATATAACATGTGTGTTTCAAATGCTATGAATTAATTTTTCTCTTGTAGTCACAGCCATGTGTGCGAGCGTCTTTACCTTGATGGCCATTGCTGGGGATCGCTTCTTCGCCATCATCTTTCCACTGAAGTCTCGCGTGACACAACGTAAGGTGAGCGTGGTAATCGTTCTGGTTTGGCTGTCATCAGCTGCAATTGGCATACCATCACTGTTGGTGTACACGTATAACGAACGTCACTGGAAGAACCATCTTGAGAGGTTCTGTACCGACGTCTGGCCAGTGCAGGAAACATCCGACGGCGTGTGTGACAACGGTTTAACCTCAAAGCGCGCCTACTGGACCCTTGTGGTTGTCGTCCTCAACTGGGTACCCATGATCGTCATGACAATAGCCTACACGGTCATTGTCCTCAAGCTCAGATTCAACAGGATTGTCCCCAGTTCAGGAGAACTGTCGCTGTCAGCCATTCAGCAAAGGTCTAAGAGAAAGGTATAACCAACACTGACAGAGATGTATGCGTACTCTTCATGCTACTTATACAGTGTAAGAAATGAAAAGTGTCTGTTTTAAATATCATTCTGACACGTCTAGTTATAATAACTGAAGTACTGCTCATTACAAGCAGAATTAAACCCAACAGCCTCACTCACGTATATAATAAATAGCCACAATGTGGTAAAACTGAGTGTTTTCATAAAATTATATTATGCTTGTCTCTATCAGTATCACTTGCCTTCTGAACACAGGTTGTGAAGATGTTGTTCTCGGTTCTCATTGTCTTCATGGTGTGCACCATTCCATTCCAAGTCTCCAAGCTGTTTGAGCTATACAGAGATGATCAGGAGGAGAGGGTAGGTCATGCTGTCATGTTATAATTTTCAGCTGTCAAGCCATGATGTTATGCTGTCATGCAGTCATGTCAGGTTGTCATGTTATGCTGCTACGCTGTCGTGTTGTGCTATGACGCTCATGTTGTCACGTTATCATGCTGTCACGTTATGCTGTCACGCAGTCTTGTTATGATGTCATGTTGTCATGTTGTCTTGTTATGCTGTCACGCAGTCTTGTTATGCTCTCATGTAGTCATGTTGTCTTGTCATGCTGTCACCCTGTCATGTTATCACGCTGTCATGTTATGCTGTCATGTTGTCTCGTTATGCTGCCACCCTGTCATGTTATGCTGTCATATTGTCATATTATGATGTCACCCTGTCATGTTATGCTGTCATAGTGTCATGTTATGCTGTCACCCTGTCATGTTATGCTGTCATATTGTCATGTTATGCTGTCACGCTGTCACGTTATGCTGTCACCCTGTCATGTTATGCTGTCATATTGTCATGTTATGCTGTCACCCTGTCATGTTATGCTGTCACCCTGTTATGTTATGCTGTCATATTGTCATGTTATGCTGTCACGCTGTCACGTTATGCTGTCACCCTGTCATGTTATAATGTCACCCTGCCATGTCATGCTGTCACCCTGTCATGTTATGCTGTCACCCTGCCATGTCATGCTGTCACCCTGTCACGTTATGCTGTCACCCTGTCATGTTATGCTGTCATATTGTCATGTTATGCTGTCACCCTGTCATGTTATGCTGTCACCCTGTTATGTTATGCTGTCATATTGTCATGTTATGCTGTCACCCTGTCATGTTATGCTGTCACCCTGCCATGTCATGCTGTCACCCTGTCATGTTATGCTGTCACCCTGCCATGTCATGCTGTCACCCTGTCATGTTATGCTGTCATATTGTCATGTTATGCTATCACCCTGTCATGTTATGCTGTCACCCTGCCATGTCATGCTGTCACCCTGTCACGTTATGCTGTCACCCTGCCATGTCATGCTGTCACCCTGTCATGTTATGCTGTCACCCTGCCATGTCATGCTGTCACCCTGTCACGTTATGCTATCACCCTGTCATGTTATGCTGTCACCCTGTCATGTTATGCTATCACCCTGTCATGTTATGCTGTCACCCTGCCATGTCGTACTGTCACGCTGTCATTTTGTCACTCTGTCATGTGGTCATACTGTCAAATTATGCTGTCGCGCTGTCATCCTATGCGGTCACGCTGCCATGTTGTCACGATATTGTGTTGTCATGCTGTCATGTTATGCTGTCACGCTGCATACCACTCATATGAAGCATGAAACATTTCTGTATCTGCAGTGTTAATTTTATCTGAATCAACTAACTAATCAATCTTGAACATGAGTGGGTTTGCTTTAACCCTCCTTTGGTACAGGTCTCAGACGTTTCCATGTTGATGACACCAACGAGCACGTGTATGGTGCTGACAAACCTAGAAGTATAATCGAGGCGACATGGATTCGAATCGACAATCACAGATTTCTGTCGTGCCAAATGGACGCACCTTTAAATCACGGACAGTCATCATTGAGTCTAGATTTACCAGTAAGAATGAAAAACATGCAAGGAGGCGAGAAACGTGTTATCAAACCAAAGCATGAAAAACAGGTTCTCGATCGCCTAAGGTTTACCAATGGCTTGTGTTGTGTCTGCCTATATTGTTCCAGAGTCATGACTGTTCTTGTACTTATCACCTTCTCTTGAAGCTTCTTACAAACACGCTTTGTACCGAGTCACCCTGCACACAAAACCTGTTCATTTGATTCAACCGTGAAGTGTTTATTCGTGTACGCAATATAAATAGGTATAAAGGGGGTTTTAAAGGGCTTCACGAACCGTTCTTTTTTCTTCTCAAGCATGACGGTAATTAACTTTTTATTGACGTTGCTACAAAACGTACGTCTTCTGAAGGTAAATATCAAGCCCTGTGTTTCTTATCTTTTACGCGTCAGGCTGTAAATACATCTTGCCCGTATTGACAAATGGGTTTTCGTACACGGTTGCTCGGTGTGTTTCACAACTAGCGAAAGCGGCGCAATAGCCTCGCGCATTTTTTTATGTTCAGTATATTTCTCATGACCCACCAGTGGTGGTACAGGATCATTAAAAAGTCATATGTTATCGAGCGATACACAAATTTTACTTACAACAATTAAGTATTTCTAAGTATTTTTTAAAGAGCTGTGTACAATAAAACCTGAAACATATTTTTAAAAATATTCTTTTAGAATATAATACATTATCATTTGTTAGGTAAGAGAAATAACGAACGAGTATTTTTTAGGGTATTCAAGCTATTATGAAAACTGTTTTCCGTTTAAATTGCAATTAACTTTTGAATTGCTACTCTGTAAATTATAAAAAAATGTGTTTTAAGGATTGAAGCTATTGATAACCTGTTGATGTTTTTTCCAAGTGTGTTTGGAGTAGCCGCATTTTTTAGTCCTAGGGTATTGCTAATTGATGTTGGGGCTGACTGCCGTGTTAACGTTAACGTTGATCGATTCTGCCCGGGATCAATGTACATGTCCACCCGGTATTGACGGATGATGGGTGTAATTTAACTTCCCTTGTATCACAGAGAACAGCTCAGATTGAAATTGTCGTTGTAATACTCTTTCAGGTTTGCTTCGATGTTTAGATAAGAATAAAACGTCCGGGTATGCATGTATGTATAGAATTTAACAATTACCTGACATGGGTCGACTTAGTCATGTAGCGCGGACAAGGGAAACCTATATTCTTAGTCTTCCTAACATTTCTCCGTTTTGTCATGTACCCATTCGTCTAAGACGCTCCAATTCGTTGTGCATAGTTGCGGCCCTTTGGTGTACCAGAATACTGCTTAATCACAACACATTTGTTCAGTCTCAAGAATTATTATCTCGCTTTATTTCGCTCAGCAAAGCTGCATCACTTCGTGCTATTTTCCCACGTCAAGCTGACATGCCGCGATATAACTGGAATACTGTTCAAATCGGCGTTAAACCCAACTCACTCACACACTCCGCCACAAGACGTACACGTATTGCGTCACATCTAAAGCAATATTTCTTTTATTTCATTCTTTCAAACACGCCACTTGTTTCATTACCGTATATACCATTAGTTAAACTGCGGAGCGAACTCAAAGAAACGTATCCTCTCAGTTTATTTTATCATGTTTGATTTTAAACGGAAAAGTTTCCGATGTTATATCCAACACATGCACTGTACAGGCGCTTAGGCAGCTCACAAAGAATGCTTCTGCATGGTTTTATTTCTTAAATATATTTTAATCTTAAACTTTTAAAAATTAAAAATCACTTAATCTTACTAGGCCTAATTTATTTGAAAATCAATAACATTGCTCTTTTTTTCGGCTCGAATAAAAAAATAAAATTTTCAAGCATGATAAAGGTCATGTGGTTCCAAATTCATTTCTTACCCCAGTCTTCAATGAACCAAATATATTTTACACAAATTTACCCCGCCACAGTTTACTTTTTACAAACTGTTGCAGGAATGAGTGATGGTTGAACAGATATGATCAAATGTAATAGTAGTTAATTTGTATTAAATTTTTCATTTACATAAAAAATATACTCGTTACATTTTATTTCGTCAATCAGTTTATATTTTTTTGTATGTGCTCGTCAAAAGCTAAGGGATACATACCTTTACCAATTAAGACCGGCATTACTTCTAGATTTCCTGTCAAGATAACTGAAATAATGTTCAAAGCGGCGTTAAACCAAACTCACTCAAACTATAGACCAAGTCCCGATTACTCACATCATGCAAGGATACTCGACGTCGACAGTACAATCTGTAAGTTTCTTTATTGGATTGTTATTGCTATCCGGATCTTTTATTTCCGGAAATCTTCCAATCGCTTCCCTTCAATATCGTTGATAATCGACATAAATAACTCATTACTAATCTCTATTACAGAAAATCGGCGATGTATAAGATTTTGACATATCAAATCGTCCGCCTTGTGGATGCTTTCCGCATATAAGTTTCTTATCGTATGATCATGATTTCTGTTTTGTCTGTTTCCAGCTCCCAGACTGGTATAGTCCCTTATACTTCTCCGCTATCATCATGATGTACACCAACAGCGCTATCAATCCTGTTCTGTACGGCGGGCTTAATGAGAACTTCCGGAATGGCTTCAGAGATCTCATTAACGCCATACTGAACCGGAAGTCTCACAGTCACAAGGCCTTGCTAAATGCACTCTGGACCAGCAACAGGTCACGTGTGGTTGTTGATGAGCTTGGCACTAAACCTGAAATGGACCATCTACAAGTACCGACGGTGGCAATGTCGTACATCAATCCGTCTGTTGACGTTTCTGGAGAAGAGCCGTCAAGGACAGCGGATAGGGCTACACGTCAGTGTAGCAACAGTTCGGGGACTTGAAAGGTCTTTTGATATATCCTTGGCTACATCTGATGTGAGTAACGAGGGAACTGTCTTACTTCAGAATGTCCACTTTGAGTTGTTCCGATAGGGACCGACCATTGAATAATCTAGGGTGACTCAATATTTTCTGCCTGCGTTTAAGACATACCATCGTCTTTTTTTCTCTGAAAGGATGAGCAAAATAAAAACCCACAACAGAATATTTTTCAGTACATCCAGCATGTCAAGTGAACAATTTAGCTAATTTGTAACATCTGAGGAAAAGTATACATTTTTTCCTGTATTTTAAAAAATGAAAACCGCATCCCCACTCAACAGGTCGGTCAATCAGCATGCTGACATTGATTACAAAAATACTTATGTTTGTGAATGTAATCAGACAGATTGTTTTGAGAATAAAAATATGTATAAGAATGAACTTCTTTCGTTCTGGTTTTGTGAGAGGTATATGTGGTAATCGTTCTGGTTTGGCTGTCATCAGCTGCAATTGGCATACCATCACTGTTGGTGTACACGTATAACGAACGTCACTGGAAGAACCATCTTGAGAGGTTCTGTACCGACGTCTGGCCAGTGCAGGTGACATCCGACGGCGTGTGTGACAACGGTTTAACCTCAAAGCGCGCCTACTGGACCTTGTGGTCGTCGTCCTCAACTGGGTACCCATGATCGTCATGACAATAGCCTACACAGTCATTGTCCTCAAGCTCAGATTCAACAGGATTGTCCCCAGTTCAGGAGAACTGTCGCCGTCAGCCATTCAGCAAAGGTCTAAGAGAAAGGTATAACCAACACTGACAGAGATGTATGCGTACTCTTCATGCTACTGTTATAGTGCAAACCATTTCAATATTTTTATTTAAAATAGTGCAAACCATTTCAATACTTTTATTTTACATTTAATTTATCTAAATACCTTACTGGTTCAATATGTTTCCAAGTGCATCGAAGTTCTATGCCCTTTGTCTGTTTAATATATTCAGCAAACATTCGGCGTATCCCCTCTTATCATAAGCCCCTCCGGGCAGGACCCTTAATCCCCAGCGCTATCTATAAATTTCAATTAACACCTCCTAACGTCGCCGGATCTTACGTATATACATACACGTGGGACAATGACCTTGCCACACGTTACGTAATACCTCGCTCTAAAAAACCCGACTGACATGGTCAGTCAGGGAGACAGCCTGGAGACAGCCAGAATATCGACTCGTGTAAGTGACAGAACAGTTCTCCCACCCGGGAAGTTTGGCCACTCGGTCCCGGTGTGCGTTCTGTCACGTTATTATCAACATGTACCTTTTTGACTTATTCTAAACTATCAACAATAAACATGGCTGCTGTCTTCTAAATCTTCACCCCTGAGTTTTGTCATCCGTCATCACCCTGAGATACCACATCCGGGGGCCGAAACTGACGCCCTTGGACAGAAGTTGTCAACGCGTATGTTGACGGGGAAATTAGCTCAGATTGAAGACGAAGAATACGTTGAGTCCAAACTTCTTTAGTCGGCAATAAAACAAACAAATACAATTACTAATAGAAATATGTCGAGCGGAGATTCCAACTCAACAAGTGAAGTCCAGCAAGCAGGCGTATCCTACTCGCGGCTGTACATACAGGTGCTGTCGGAATACCAGACTCACTAACAGTAAAGATGTAAACATATATATACACTATTGGACAACAATAGACATACAAGGAGACAATGGCGTGGCCCTGGACATGGGGCTTATGGATGTGATTACATACACGGCCTAGGGGGAATGTGATTAAGGCTATAAATGTCATAATGCGAAAGGCTGTGTTAGACAATGGTACAACTGACGGCTGTTACGCATGGATTACATCATGTTAAATAGTCCAGATTTCCTAAACGATATGTTCTCAACACTGTACAAAAGGGATGTTGTTCAGAAGCTACAATTATTTAACATTGCGTTGTCCAAAGTGCTGTTAAGTCACTCTGTGACACTATTTACACAGTGTAAGAAATGAAAAGTGTCTGCTATCTATCCATCCATCCATCCATCCATCCATCCATCCATCTATCTATCTATCTATCTATCTATTCTACGTCGGGTATATATATCCAAAAGAGTGACATAAAACTATTGTGTTAACACATAACGAAGTTAATGTACCGGTAATATAACTGCACATTATCCTTGGATTCAAGTTACGTGTAACTGAAAATGTACACGCGTGGCTTAACTCATTACAAAAGATCTGACATTTCATTGCGAGGCCGTATTGCAAAATGAGGCATTTTTAAAGTTTGGCATTTGCTTTTTTGGACAGGGTATTTGGATTTAACATTTCTGTGGAAACAAGTGGGAATCCATTGAAGGACGCATTTATTTCGATAAATATTCCATACAACGTTCAGTATATATGTTTTTCTGAAACAGTGATCGGACCCACATTGGTATTGTCCACCAGTGGATGTTCATGTCTCATAAGGATACATCAGCTATGTACTTCAGTAGTCAATTCTAACTGGTGTTAATTTTTAAATCCTAACATAACTGTATTTTGTTTTGTTTTCAGGCATCTCTTCTTTTTATTCTATTGGGGGTTCTTTTGCAAAAGAAAGTGTCAACCATGTTTGATGGTAACTAAAAATGAAAGAAACAAGAAATGGATATTCGATGGTGATGTATTTGATTAATGTATCATACATCTTATCAATAAGTACCCCTGATGACGTGCACATGACGTTGTAAGGAACATGGAGGTTTCAATTTCACAGTAATTAATGGGCAGAGTGAGGCAAATATTGTCATGATCAGTTTGAGTCGGTTCACAGATACCAGACATTATCAGTAGCGAATATGACCACCACGAGCACCGATGCACACCAAGACTCGTCGTCTCATCGATGTCGACAGCCGTCTGATGATGTCATTGGGATTCCGTTGTCAGTCGTATATACGAATACCTGCGACACGGAGACGACGTAGCACAGCGCGACTGATGCGGCGTTCTTACGATGTTGCTGCCTTTTCCGTCGCGGTGACGAACCTATTGCGCAAATGCAATATGCGCAAGTACCGGTTATTATGTAGCGTTGTCATGCGTGATCTGTCTGATCTTGCGAGGCCCGTGTACTGCCAGTCTGTCTGTAGCGTTCGAAGTCTGACGATGATTGCACGTGTACAGTTGACGTTTCTTGCAATCTGGCTCTGGTTGCCATTTGTCTAAATTCCTACGGCCCTCACTCTGTTGTTCAGTTACACGTTGCATCTTTCTTGCCTTTCATTACCTGTGGTGTTTTGGCAACGATCCACTGCATTTTACACAATATCTGCACGAGCATTTTACGGGTACCCGAGACAAGGTGTTTTGCGCTTTTTCACTGATGCTCGTGATCTTCGAAACTGCACCACTTCGGACTTTCCTCCCACATTAAGCTGACACGCCGTGATATTTAACTGGAATACTGTTCAAAGCGGCGTTATACAATATTCCCACATTCACTATGATCAAGAGGAGCGGTCGGTCGGAGGAGAAATAATAAAGACATGATTTTGGTTGATAATACAACTGATAATTGGATCATTGAAAAGCAGTGACGACACCAGGTGTTCGCGAAGAGAATAAGCATGTTCTGATTTACCGGTAACACCCACATACATTTTTCTAAAAAGTAAGTTTTTGTTTGTTGCTTAACGCCACAACCAGCAATACTCCTGTCGTACTTCGGCGGCCTTTACCAGACAGTGATCAGAACCATGAGCAATGGTCCACTTTGTTGAGCCACGCTGTCAATCATGTCACCATGTCTGATAATCGGATCCATTAATTAAAGTAAGTACCAGTGAGTAAGGAGGTATGAAAACTCCTGCAAACGTCATAATATGGGATAGCATCGCGCATGATGTTCCTCTGAATGACTCCCATAACAATCCTCGAACGACTGAACAAGGCAGTGATGGTTAAACCTTGATTGAAAAACTTCAGCTTTATGCAAAATGTGTACTTACATGAAATTTGAATAATATTTACATGTTCTTAAGTACGTAAGCAAGTGGGAAATGTAGACGTCACAAGTTGGAGCTGATGGTATATTGCTCGACATGAAGGGGACATTCATGACGGGAAAATCGAAATCATACCTCTTGTCATGCGGCTTGGTACAGAGGTTGCCGTCATTTGTATTTCTATGCATAGACCCAGACAGGAGATTGAATATAGTTCCGCGGATGTTTCTTTGATTTTCAACTCGGTGGATATATGAGGGGGAGATATGAGGTCATCTATCTTTTTATCTGAAACTGAGGTTGAACTTTATTCCGTGAGTAAATAAAACAGATTCATAATGAGCAAAGGGATTCTGAAACAGATCAGAGCGGGGCACAGTTAGTACCCATGGGGATAACTACTAACTTTCAAAATGTTCTATCCTCAAATTTGACAAACATAATGACAAATACAATATGAACACACAAACAGATACACAATTTGCAGTCTTAACCTCAAGAGTTAAAAACTCGTTATAAACATTGAATATTTTCCACAAGCGTATGTTCTCATACAAACTCATGCAGTCCAGTGCAGCTTGGCCTCATGCAATATGGATCAGCGGCGAGCCCAGTGGTCAAAGTGTTCGCTCTTTACGCCGAAGACCCGGGTTCGATTCCCCACGTTGAGTCAATCACCTTTTTCTGGTGCCCCTCGCCGTCATAGTGCTGGAATATTGTCACAAGCAGCATGAAACCATACTCACTCACGTACTCATGCAAGACAAACAGGATATTATATGAGTGTTCATGTCATACTATGTTTAAATTTCTAAATTTCGGTATTGCCCGAGCGAACATGCACATCATTCGTTTAATGCTTAATTTATTCGTATTTCCTGTATCGGGGGACTAAAAGATCGATCATCTGACCAAAAATAGTGAGTGAGTGAGTTGGGTTTAACACCGCTTTTAACATTATTCCAGTTATATCGAGGCGTGTCAGCTTAATGTGGGAGGAAAGCCCGAAGTGATGCAGGTCTCAGACGTTTACCACTCCGGTGAAACCCACGAGCACGACAAACCTAGAAACATAATCGGGGTGAACCGTGATTCGAACCCTCAATCATAGGTTTCTGGCGTGTCCAGGGGACGCAACTCTGCACAGCGAATCGCGGCGCCTTAGACGACTGGGCCACACGTGCCCCCTGACCAAAAATAAAGACAATAGGTTCATAATATATATTCACGAATTGACTCTCACTCTATTTGGCTCTCACTCGATGAAAGTAAATTCTCATAATTTTGTATATCTATACACAATTATATTATGTACGTGTGACTTCATGTTTACACTGACAGCCATACAACAACAAGCTGTATAGCAGAATAAAATAGTAATAGAAACGA